ATATACGTGTTTTTGCGAAAGACGTAGATATTCCTGAACAAATTGCTGCTTTAGGAATTTCCAACGTCATGAAAGTTAAATCAAAATTGGGAATGAGTTTGAAAGAAAAAAACAAAAAGGACAAGGGAGTTAAACATTTGCGAAAAGTTGTTAATTCAGCAAAGCTTATGTTAAATTCCAGTTCAGATCCTATTAAATCTGCATTAGCTGCTGCACGAAAGACTGTTCGCGATGCTGGTGGAAAGAAAAAAATCAAAGTCCCACGTATTATACCAATGCCGCCAAAAGTGGGAGGTATTTCACCTCTTATACCTCTATTTGCAGGTTTAAGTGCAGTTGGTGCTGTAGCAGGTGGCGCTGCTGGCATTGCAAAAGCAATTAATGATGCTAGAGACGCCAAACGTCAATTAGAAGAAGCTAAACGACATAACAAGAAAATGGAAGCAATAGCTTTGGGTAAAGGTCTATGACTAAAACCGCACAAGAGAGGATTAGGATTTTATTTGAAACCGGTAAAAAAAAACTTACCCCATCGTGCACTGACTGATATTGAACTTCAAAAATATGCAAAAATCATGAAAATACCTTTTTTTCGTGGTGTTTTTATGCGAAATGATCTTCCAAAATCTTCACCGTGGAAAAATGAATCAGCAATTATTAATCTCGATGATACAACTGGACCTGGAACTCATTGGGTGGCATATAAAAAACGTGGTAATAAAGTTATATTTTATAACAGTTTTGACAATTTGCAGCCACCACATGAGCTTATGGAGTATCTTAATGTTGATAAAATACTGTACAATCATGAAAAACATCACGATTACAGTACAGATAACCGCGGACACTTGTGTCTAAAATTTTTATGCAGAAAAGTATAAAAGTAATATGCACTTTCCCATAAGTATCAGTTATGGATGATTCACTTACGTTAACATTGTCTGGACGAACGTCCATTCTAGAAGCGTTTTATTTTTCACCAATTGAATTATCATCATCCAAAAAATATACGTAGAACTTGTGGAATTGTTAATCTTTAATTTCATTCTAAATATTGATAACGGTGACAATAAATTTTATTATGCACTTAATAGTGAAGATAAAAGTATTAAAATACCCACAGAAAGCTATAAAATTGAAGACATTGAAAATTATTTGAAGAAAGCTGATACTCAATTTTCAATTTCTCTTAAGCCCAATAACAATGAAGTACACAGTGAAGTTTACAGTGAAAATGCAACAAAAAATTTCAAACTGCATGATTCTATTGGTAGTTTGTTGGGCTTTAGTCCACGAGTTATTTTTCCAAAATTGACTCACACATCAGATTTACCAGTATCTATCTTGAGAATTAATGCATTAAGGATCGAATGTAATATTACGACAGGAGCATACATGAATGATCAGTTTGTACATGCGATTCACGAATTTTTCCCATCAGTCCCCCCAGGATATAAGATCATTGAAGTTCCATCAAACGTCATTTATCTACCAATCACCGTACAGACAATACATAATTTATAACTGCGCATTGTTGATTAAGACGGTCAATTGGTTAATTTACGTGGTGAAACTGTAACAATACGTTTACATTTGGAATCAGTCACGTGATGGGGATTGTTTATGAACCAATAGTAGGGGGAAGCTATAAAACTAACATATCATGCCTGAATCCCATCAGTCATCGAAGAAAATTCAACGATTAACTTATCAAAATCGATTATTCCTACAAAGTCTAGAACTAAAAATACGCAAAAGTACAACAAAATTAAAGTGAAAGTGTGCTGTCTTGTATGTCTTTTACGATGGAAGAAGAAAAATTAGCAATAAGCAAAGGTTTCATATTTGATGAGTCTATTGCACACATTGAGGTGCATGCTCATCAACCATATGCATCTACAATATACAATAATAATGATGAGATACATATCTCAGTTCAACATCAAGATTTATGTCTATTGCCAAGCAAAAGTTCCCTTCATATTACGGGGAAATTCACAAAATGCAGTAGCAGCGACATCAAGATTCGTTAATATAGCCGTATGCTATTTATTTGAAGAAATACGATATGAATTGAATGGTGTTGGGATTGATCGAAATACAAATGTTGGTCTTACAAGTCTCATGAGGGGATATCTATCTCTTCGTCCAGGTCAAGAAAATTATTTAGGTAATGCAGGTTGGGTAACTGATAATGAAAGATTATTCAATGATAATGGATACTTTGATGTTTCGATACCGTTACATATGCTATTGGGATTTGCTGCAGATTATCATCGCATAATTGTTAATGCCAAACATAAATTAATACTTACTCGTTCAAATACCGATCTTAATGCAATTGTACAAGCTGCAGCGGAACCTGAAGAGACGATTACGCTCATAAAAATTGAATGGATCATTCCTTATGTTACTGTTGCAGACATAAAAAAAATTGAATTGTTAAATTACATTGCAAAAGACCCACCGATTCCAGTGAGTTTCAGATCATGGGAATTGTATGAATATCCAATGCTGCCGAACACAACCAAACACGTATGGGTCGTAAAAACATCAACTCAATTGGAAAAGCCCCGCTATGTTATATTAGGATTCCAAACTGCACGCAAAAATGATGCTACAAAAGATGCAAGTCATTTCGATCATTGTGATATAAGGGATGTAAAACTTTTCCTCAATTCACAATGCTATCTATATGGCAACATGAATCTTGACAGTAAGTAACAGTCAATTTGCCTTATTATATGATATGTAGAAAGATTTTCAAACATCATATTATGATGAAGAAGCAGAACCTCTAGTCACGAAAAAAAAATTTATAGATATAGCACTACTCATTGTAATTGATTGTTTTGAACAAAATAAATCCTTGAAATCAGGACCAGCTGATGTTCAACTGGAATTTGAATGATCGAAAGCTTTTCCTGCTAACACATCAGCCTATTGTTTGATCTTACATGATCGAATAATAGAGTATAAACCTTTAAGTGCGCAAATGAGAAAACTAACATAAAATATTGTAAAAAATATATACATTATATAGTTATGATTATATAATTCATGTATTAATCAAATTTTTTTTTGCTATAAATAAATTGTGTACTCTAGGATTATTGTTTTCATTCATTTATTTCCAGAAAAAACTCGATAGTCGGTAGCGCAAATTTAAGAGAATATACATTGACAAAACTTTGAAAATCAGTTATTATTGCTGATAGTGACATTTTAATCATGGTTCGTGAAAAATCGGTATTATCATTAAAGATAATTTATCGAGGTCGGTAAACAAAAAAAATCAGAATCAATCGCTGCCGATAATTTATCGCCACAAACTTATCGCAATCGGTATTATCGCTAAAGGTAACTTATCGAGTATTATCGCTGCCGATAATTTATCAGTGTCGATAACTTATCACGGTCAGTAAGTAGGTAATTTACCATCAAAGTTATCGCGGTCGGTAATTAGCGCGGAATCAGAACCCACTTTTTGACTCGGCCGGTATCGCAGAGTGATCCAGAACCGGCCCTGCTTATCTACTAGCCTTCTTCATGCGTTCATGCTGGCTGGGTCATATATCAGGTTAAAAACATGGCCCCTATATTATCAACCTTGGAGTGTATGTCGTCCGTTGGCACATCGGTGATCCTTTGCTTCAACAGTCGGCCATTTCTTCTGGATACATAGGTATTAATACGCTATTCTGGTGCTACAGAGGTCACTCCCCTTCCTCGAAAGGACATGAGTAGCTATTTGACGTGTGACAATGCCCTCTATTTTTTTAAAAATTTCTAAGTACTAAACAGGTTTTTAATTGTAGTTAAAAAGTTTATTGGTGTATTGTTTTATTAGATGTAGGAAAAAGGAATAAAAAAATAATTGACCACAAGCATTTAAGACAATTTAAGTCTGTATCATTGAGAAATATGTATCCGAGTGCGAAGAAATTTTTAAGAAATCAGAATAGGGTAACTTTGGCAGACCCTACTCCTATCTTTACCACAAAGTGGTAATGAATTTGCGTCTACCGGAGCCTACTCAAGAGGAGTGAGTTGTCTCGTTGTGTATAACTATAGCTATTATTACTTTTTATATCTAGTACTAGAAATGTAAAATAGCGCGCCGTGCACGCGCTGTTCAAACGTTGAATAAAAAATATATGAATGTGAATAATGATTTGCAAAGTAAATTTATTGAATAAAAATCAAAAATAATCCAAAAAAACAGAAGTGAAATTTGAAATATTTTTTATTAAAAGGTAACTATTATACAGAATCTAGTATAAATTATTGAAAATTAATGAGTTAAATTTTTTTCATAACATTAATATTAATAAGTCTTTTAACATCTTACTATATTTATTATATAGATCCATGAAAAAATATTTATCGTATCTAAATATCAAAGAACACATTTTTTTTTAATCACAAAGTACATTATATATGTAAAAGCTTTTTTTATGCTTAAGGTAGTCGGGTGATAACACTTGTTCCAAGATGAAATGATGAAAATTTTTATTTAAGTAAAGAAGCCTATGATGCGTTAGTTGTCGAAAGGAAAATTTTCACTGCGGTCTAGATACAGAGATATTAATTTTAAAAAAAATTTTTTTTCCCATTTACGAACATTGACAGTGTAGAAGAATTCTCTGCTGTCAAAAGTTTTTGATTTTTTTTATCAAGGATTCCCAATATTATAAGATAAAAAACTAGTTTCTAGGTTCACAAAACGATTTTGAACGCATCTACATGTTCGAACAAGAGCCGCATCGTTGAAATAACGAAGAAAATATAAAAATTTAACGTGTAAAACACCTTCGAGTTCTTAAAAATGGCTGATGTAGCAAATAGAAAAATATGATGCGCGTGATATGGCAACGTTGCACACCCGCGAAACTTGAATTAGTCCACATGAGTGGATTTTTATAAGTTAAATTATTGTAGGTTAGATTAAAAAGAAAATAAAAAACTTTATATTAGGTTTGTTAAAAATAATGTTAGAATTTTTTTTTTCATTTTATCTTATTTATTTCTTATTTAATAATACAAATTTTTTGTAATCTCATTACAATGGCATCAATAATTCTTCCTGTTGTTGTCACTCGTGCTTGACTTCCAACATTTTGTCCAAGTAGTAATTTTATTCCTTCTTTCCCAGAATTAATAAAAGTTTCTTTTAAATGTTCTATGGTAATTCCTGCCTGTACCATCTTAGAAATCATACCTGCAGAAACTCCTTCGGTTTTTGACAATTTTCCGTTTTCATCTTTTTCCGCTAAAATAACTTTTTTTAATGGAGCTTCTTTCATTTTGGACGCATCACGTATAATCTTCCGATTTAATAAATAATTAACAGTAACTCCTGTTTCAAAAAGCTTGTCATCAGGAATATTTATCAGTGGGTGGTGAATCAAATCAAACAAAATACGAACATCAGTTAAACCGTTATGAAGTCTACCAATATTTTCTGGTTCTAAAAAATCTTGTGCAAGAATTTCTAATTTGAATCTTTTTTTAGCTTTAGTTCGATCTTTCAAATGCTTCTTCATCACAGGTAATGTATCAGTAAAACCTTTCACGATTAATGAAAATTCATCTATTACATCTACTTCTTGCATGAATTGTAAAATCATCGGTCCATCAAATGTAAAACAGTTGTGTGCGGCTAATATAATATTTTCACCAAAATTTTTTAAATATGATAAAAACTCATTGGCTGCTTGTCGAGGTGAGAGAGTTAAAACTGGTGAAGAATCTACTACCAATGTCCCGTTGTATAATTTGATGCCAGTCAAGTCTGTGATGTGAGGAAGATTATTTTTTGATGGCATAATATATGCGCTAAATTCATCACTGTTATATTTAGCTGCGATTTGAATTATTCCACTTCCTACAAATCCTGTACTCTCAATATCTAAATACACGAGTTGGGACTTCTCTGTAATTATTAATTTGTTTTCTAAAACCATAGGTTTATCAATAAAGTTTACACCAATATCTACTCCACAATTGGACTGGTAGGAAATACCTTCCTTCCTTTCAATGACATTATTTTTTTTACGACGTTCTTCAAATAATGCACGTCTCCGTTTTTTTCCAACAGTACTTTGAGAAGTGATTGCATGATTTTTCCTTCGTTCATCAAGTGAGCTTCTATATTTTTTTGCTCTTGTTGTCGAAGGAGAATATGAAAGCTCTTTTTTAACCACATCAACATAAGTAGTTCCAATATTTTTCTGAGAAATAGCAGCGCCAATGCGAGCATGAATTGAAGATGATGCTCCATAAAATTTATTTTTTGGATGATGTCTTGCAATCATTTGATTAAGAGATTCATTCGCTTGCGTTAATGCACCGGGTGCTAATTCTTCGGCTTTTGCAGCTTGTCGTTTAAAAAGAGAAGTCAGCGATGCCTTCAATTGTTCACCAGTCAAAGGTTTGCCCTTAGGGAGTCTATTATGTTGATATTTCTCAGGATTATCTTTATATTTACACCATGCTCCACACTCCAGATGCTCTCCAAAAGAATGAGGAACTATAGTTAAGATAGCTTTTCGAGTTACTTCCACGTCACCATTATTGTTTTCAATGGCACATTTGAAAAGATATTTTAAATAATCGATGACCATAGTTGGTAATTTAAGCCCATAAAGAGCTGACGTAACTTTAGTGATAGCATGATTTTTATCACATAATTTAGTAATAGGATGATTTGATTTCCTCCTCAAACATCCTATAGTAGACGAATCATCATCTCCAATAAAAATAGTAGTTTTTACACCCTCGACTTGAAAATCAAGATTTTCAATTAGCATTCTTTCAGCCATCGCTGGTTCCATTGATTTGGCACTTCCGGAATGATTAATCCGGCAGTCATGCTGATCTCTAGAAACACCACGTGCACATAGTCGGCATTCGGTTGTACAAACGTCATAACTAACACATAAATTGGAATTACGACCAATAGCAGTGCAATGACCTGTAAATGAATCATTATCACTAATAAATACATGATAAAAATATTAACTTAATACCTGTGCGACTATTATGGGCACGCCCGCTTTTCTGCCAACCTGCATCCAAACCAAAAGCACAGCCAACTTCTCCATTTGTAGCAAGCGTATTTACATCTAACCTATTCAAAAAATGACAAGTATGTTTAGACAACCGGAAAAAATGAAATGATAACGTAAAAAAATATAAACTTACATTTCAAGAGCCTTGCGAGTATCGCGAGTTTTTGGTAAATCAAATAATTCTATTTTTGATTTTAATTTTGATTCTTTCAGTTCTACGTTTTTCTTTAAAACTCTCCACTGTTTCAATTTTTGCTTCTTCTCTTCACTCTTATTTTTTCTTCTGCCTTCAGATATTTCACTAAAAGAGATAATGTCAGGATTTACATATTTTCTGTTTTTTTTATTATTAATAATATCGCTGTTATTACTGTTGATTTGTTCGTTATTAATAATTATTTTGTTATTGTTAATTTCTTCGATATCAATTATTTCTTTGTTATTGTTTATTTCCATATTAAATGTTATTTTATTGTTATTTTTGAATTTATTATTTATCTCGTCGTTATTGTTAATTTCTGTATTATAAGTTATTTTATTATTATTTTTAATATCATCGCTTATCTCCTTATCATTGTTAATGTCAATGATACAATTAGTGTCTTCGTCATTAGTTCTTCCACCATCCAAGTCAATAATTAGTGTTGATTCCTCATGATTTAATCTACAATAAATATTATTATGTATATTCTGTCATTTTAGATATATTTCGATGTCTTTACTGTTACCAGTGATACTTACGGAATCAAACTTTAGTACAAATTCTAGATGCTGAATCGAAAAAATCTATTTATAAAAAGCCTTAATAAATCATTTTCATTTTTCTATTGATGATTATTTCTGCTCAGAAAAGTATGAATATGATTAAAATGCTATTCATAAAGAGATTTTTTGATATCTCAATTGATGAATCTCGAAACTACAATATTTTAAACATCTATGCAAAAATTGTATTCTACACTACAATTTTCATTAATTGCAATTAATTTGTTGTAATGGATTCACCACACCATTTTGTTAGTCACATCAAGCTTAGTATTAATTTCTACAGCGTTAGGGTTAATCAACAATTTATTAATTTAAACACACAGTAATTGCTATTTTTAAATAAATATTTAGAACCTGTCTTGTATTGTCATGGCCTTTTCTAATTTCAAAGCTTCAATACAACTTGCTTTTGCTACTTTCTCTATGGCTATTCCAACTCTCCTCTCATTTCGTTTTAATAGTTGTTGATGAACTGGTGGAATATTTAAAATAGTTAAAATTTTATTTATTTCAGCTAATCCAATACCAGCATCGTAAATTGCTAAAAAAAAAAAAATAATTTATTGGCTCCAAAATCATATGGTTCATTCAGTAAACAGAATTGTCATTGTAAACTCAAATGACAAGTATAAAACAATCATTACGGCTGTATGGAACTTTAAAGTTTCGATGCCAATAACGATTATTATTAAAACAATAATTCAACCTACCTAAAGCGAGCAATCCGTTTATGTGATAGGTACCATCATCACTGTCTTGTTTTGAAGTTTTCACTGAATAAATTATGTCACATTTGAAACATTTTATTCTAAAGACACTAGCTAATCCTCTTAAACATTCTTCTTTAATGAATTGCATCGAAAGAGGAATATTACACGCATTGCACCACATGTCTTCACCTAACCTAACAATGTCAATCACTCTTCTTCCTTCAAAATATTTTTTATTCATTTTTTGACGCTTAGAATTTGCTGCTGCAATATTTTCTCTCCATTTTCTTTTATTACTTTTGCAAAAACGACCATCTTTATCTCGATAATTATTCTCACACATAATCAGATAATCACTCTTAATAATTGTAGAGATTTATGTGTAATCCGCTGACCATCGAGAATTATGCAACGTTGCCAAACATTTTTCACAATATTTTAATACGTTACTCAAGTAACGAATATAAAATATTCTACCATAATATAATCAATAAAAATCAATAATTGAACACGATAAATGTTAATATAAATAGAAAATTTTATTTTTAAAAATAATAATATGGATGACTAATCAAAAAAATTCTAAACATTCAACAAATCACGTAGCTGTCACCCGACTTCCTTAATGAATTATTTGTACTATTCCATTTTTAAAAATAATGATTAGCTTTAAATACTGCATGAAGTTTCTATCAGTTTAAAAGTATTTAGGTTCTGCTTAATTATATAAAAATACTTTTTTTTCTTTTCAAAAGAAAAAAATTAGAATGTTTTAATTTTGAAAACCATAGAAGGGTATTTTATCAGTACGATACTTTGAATTGTTCAATTTTCAAATTATTGAAAGCATAATATTCTATCATAATTCAAATTAAAGTTATGGACTGAACTAAAAAAAACCTTTTCCATTTATATAAAATAAAAATGAATTGTAATCATGTGACTGATTAAAAAAACGTTAAAAAAAATGATTAATTTTTTCTAGAATGTATGATAAATCCAAAACTTCGATTCAAATTACGATATACTATCCATATCAATTAATAAGTGATTTTGAAATTTGAAAATTAGTAAAATGAGAGACAAATTTTATAAATTCAGCATGATTTCAAGTAAAGGTTTGAATCAATCTATGGAGGACTTACTCCATAGATCTCGCTTTTGAGTGCTTCCAAGGTTAGAGTCATCTTCTAATGATTGTTTTGGTGTTAAAATTCCATTTTGAAGATCTCTTGCAGAAGCTTCGGGTTCATCCAATAATACAATGTCATCAGAACTCTGAACTTGTAAATAGACGTTGTTAGCTGCGAAAAGATATATATATTTATATAACGAACAGTTAATAAAAAGGTTAGGAAAGACCATGAAAAAGTGTGTACATACCAAAATCCAACTTTTTCTCCTCTAATTCGCACACTGCTGCCAATATGAATAGTGTCATCTCTTGAAAAATGAGTAACGTTAGCTCGTAATCTAAATCGTCCATTCACAATTAAGCCAGAACCGCATGTGGCAACTTTCGTTTCGATAAGGTAAAAAGGAATTTTTACATAACTACGTATTTCTATAAAAATGGATACATAAATAAATAATAAAAATCGAAAAAAAAGAATTTTATAAATTAATAAATTTATTTTTACTTACCAACATGATTTCTAACTTTGGGGATTTTCTCGATCGTTGTTATCTCGTAGGTTTCTGGACTTGTACCATCATTCAGTAGAGGACCAAGAGTAATGGTAGTAAATTGCATAATAGATAATTCTATGAGTGCAGGATTCTCTTCTGGTATTGAATAAGTAGTATTAAGGCGGGAAGAACGGGTACACATGATTTCAATCATTTAACCAAAAACCAGAACGATGTTAAATTTGAAGTGAATGTTTTTCTTTAAATAGATCTTTCAAATTTTATGTTAATATTTATTGAAAAAATTAAATACTTTTCGACAAATTAGTTTTGGATTATACTTATCAGCTCAGTTGTTCCAGAACAAAATTCTCACTCAGGGACCTTGACCGTTGTTGACGATAATCTTCAGAAGTTTTTTTTGTGGTGGTTGCCCAACATTCCTTATTCCTCGAATTGTATCGATAAATTCTTTAAAGATCCTATAAAATGGAAATTTTATAAGAAATTAACGCGTTGATTCATGCTGCTGCCATTTTCATCTCAATGAGCACACGAGTTTCAAGTACTTCAATTTCTTATACAAAAATGTCATTAAAACTTCGCAGAATAAGAAAATACTTACATACTATTATCGGATTCGATCCAATTGTCAATCTCATCATTCGACGTGAAGCTGGATAACTCTGGTTCGTTAGCCATTTTCAGATTTTTTATAAAAAAATAAAAATTTGCGCGATTATTGTTAAAATGGCAGCCACAATGATAAAGAATGAGGAAAACGCAAGATACTGAAAATCGACTTGTCGCGCATGTGCAGAATTATTCGTAGGTGGCGCCATAATCAGTTTTATTTGAATGCAGCCCTCTTGTCGGTTAATTTAAAACAAAACGGTTATTGCGCGAAAGTGAAATAAAAAATGATTTAAGAAAGATCAATGGAGAAATTGACTATTTGATGAATATCTTTTTTAGATCTCTTTTATATATTCTAAAAAAGGATATTTTATAGATGTTGGTCAGAGATCGATGCTCTGTTGATATTTAATTGGAATGAACCGTATCCAATAGTGTAGAATTTGAATGTTGAAAATAGAAATTATAGTAATCATTGTAACAAACGTTCGATTATATTAAACAGAAAAATAAATTACTCATAATTCTTGTATAAAATGTATGAGGATCTATCGATATAATTTCTGATAGACATAATTCTCTAGAACATTTTCATCTCTTTGATTACCGATATAAATTTTTAATGTTTCCCATGAACAAACTCTTGACAATGCAACGTAAAGTTGACCATGAGTAAAAAGGTCTTTTGTTAAACCAACACCGATTTTTTGAAATGTTTGACCCTGGGCCTTATTAATAGTCATTGCAAATGCCAATGTTATTGAAAATTGTGGAAGACCTAAATTATCAGTTAAATCATTCAGAATCCCATCTCGTACGTTTAATAATAATTTCGCAAATTCAATTTCGTTTTGTAACGCACGCATATTTTGTGTAAGAGAAAATATCTTGAAAAATTGCCATAGGGAACTAAATTAAAGCGATAAATTTACTGATTCGCTCCGGGTCGCATTTTTTAATACTGGAAGCAACTGTCAAAAATCACCGCCTGAAATCATTATTTTTCCTCCAAAAGGTGTATCATTAATCATTATATCACGCATAAGTGGATCTGCTACTTCTAAAGCATATCTAGGGGCCATTGGAGCTTTACCAGTGTAAGCTGTATCGCAAATATTATCATGTTCAGCCCTAAGTAAATGGTATAAAGTTATGTGAATAAAAATTTTGCCCGATCCTCCGGGTCCATCTATGTAGATATAATTACAAATGTTATCATTATTATTTTGATTAACAATTTCGGCTAAAACAAAAACAACAATTTCTCTTTGTTTTTCGTTCAATTTATCATACATTTCAGTACAATCATTGATTGTCATCATTGAGATGTATCATTAATAACTTCGACATCAGAGTTTTCTGTATAAGTGATGGGTAACATATTAGGAATTAAAAAAACTCAAGAGCCTTCTTTGCTGAAATCTACATTAATGAATACAAATGCCTTCCTAATTTCATCTATTTCACCGAATCTACGTATATAATCCTCTGAAATTGCTTTCTTGAATTGTTCCTAAAGTTGTGTGGATGTAATGGACTACAATAGTAGATAAGTGTGGCCGGTTCTAGATCACTCTGCAATACCGGCCGAGTCAAGAAGTGGGTTCTGATTCCGCACTAATTACCGACCGCGATAACTTTGATGGTAAATTACCGACTTACTGACCGTGATAAGTGATCGACAGTGATGATACCGATCTCAATTGATAATAAATCATCTTCAGCGATAATATTATAATTATCAGCAAAAAAATAACCTTAGAAAAAAAAAAATTGCGGTGATGTGTCTCAAGGATGTTAGATGATGGAAAAAGGTTTTAAGGTAAAAACAATTTCTCTCTCAAGTTTAATGTATTTTTATATTATAATATATTTTCCTTTTCATAAAAAAAATAATGATCCCTTGAATGATGGTACCCAAGTAGCATTAATCTACCTGTAAGAATCAAAATTATTTTCTTTAATCACTTTTTTCATGTAAGTAAAGCGAGAAAAACTAATCATAAAACAAGACTTACAGCATCATAACCATCATCATAGTCAATGAAATCATCATCATAACCATCGTCGTCATCAATTGTTGGAGGTGAAGGAGGTAGAAATTCCACCTCACTATCCTCCGATGACACAGTCGCTGGAGAAGGAGGTAGAACTTCTAACAGTGATGATTCCCTGGCTTGGAGGTGGTGGCACGACGGAGATGTCTTCTTCTATCCGGAACCATATGACGTTACCGGGGAACGTTAGGCATGTAGCCGTCACGCTACGAAGTGTGAGGGTAGCGCCTTCTATCCCTCCCGTCTCTTCCCAATGATCTTCAAGTGCCATTAGAATTATAATTGCTACGAGGGTGATCGGTAGGTCAAACCAGGCCTCCGGGAAAATGAAAGTGCACATCTTTTTCTAAAAAGTAATAACGATTATGATAGATTGTTTTCAAACTTAAAAAAAGAAAAATTCTCCCACTTGATAAATTATCATTTAACAATTCATAAAATTCACAATTACACTCAATAAATAATCATATTAATGCATAAAAATTAAAAAAAAAACACACTTTTTATACTTGAATGAAGCAAAAGTCACTACTTACTTTGTATGGTTTGACTGTCGAAAACGAACTAAATATTTTGTCCTATGCATCATACACCATGGCTAAATGTTTATATTTTTTAAATAGGCCAATAGTAGAAAAATAATTGAACGATATTGATTAAAATCTATATAGGGAGGCCTTGATCATATCACTCAGCATCAAATTACAGACAGAGAAAAGAATTTGACAACAAGAAAAAATTCTCACCAAAAAAAATAAATTGTAAATGACATTTTTCTCTTTTCTCATTATTAGAATAGTTTGTAAACGATCTCTACTATCGATAAATAATTTTAGATACATTTTTTTTCGATTGGGTTTTCAATTAAACGTGTTTTCTTTGTCGCTCATACCTCTGCTATCTTATTTTTTCCTCGCTCTGCCACCGCTTCCTCACTTCGTCTATACTTCTATTTCCTGCTAAGAAGCTGTGATTCATGCAAGAGTTAAAAGGGCCATGTGTCGAAAAATGTCTCTCATTCTCTGTTACTTATTGAAGTAAGACATAATATATATTATAAATAATCAATTGAAATATTCCATTTACTGTAGAAGT